GTTTAATGATTGTGGTTTAGGTTGTATGGATTAATCAATTTACCATCAATTTATCAATTTTCCATAATGAACTGTGCTACTTAGAAGCATACAAATCACACAATAAGTTTGAAAATGCAATCATTTTATTAACACATATTCATGAGGGAACAAAACAGCTCATATTTGTAAAAAACAATATGCCAATTTTGAGATGACAAGGTATCAATGGTAATGACACAAAACTGACGGTGGTGACAAACTTGTAAGAAACAGAAAAATATTTAATTCAAAAGGACCAATGAACTCTCACAAATATCGTAACATTGCAAAATATGAAGAAAACACATTATAACCAATTTTTCATCTCATGAGAGTAGAGGGAGTTTACAGGCAACAGAAAAAGAAATCCCCTTTGTAAAGTCCACAACATCTTCAAATATATGCTGCTTATAAAGTATATAAACCAATTCAAATCACCCGTAGTCAAAATGACAGCTAAACCTTTAAAATATTGCTAAACTGTCATAAAAAACGTAACATTTGACTTATCAAGGCAGTCGATGGAGTTTAAACACCAGGCAACAGACAATTCAATTGTTCCTCTTCTATGAAATCCATGACCTCTGCTGATATGTTGTATATCTCTCTGGTGCGGCTTGTACGGACGGGTGATGAATGATGGTCCATTCAGCTTGACTAGAATATCTGTAAATGGCACAAAGCAGACATCCCGCCGTCCTTGTTTTATCTGAAAACAAACATTTGGCCCATGAGGGTGAAAAATTCAACTTGAACATCTAGATGCTCTGGGTCAATTGTTAAGGCTTTAGCCAGCCACCAGTTCTGTTAGTACATGACAACAAGCCAGTCTCCACTCTGAGTATCATCAGGGCCTATCCCAGTTGTTGTACCCTCAGGTTCTCTGCTAGGCTCTTTCTCCATGGCCTCCATCAGCATCGCCAGAGGACCCTGTCTGGGTCATTCATCTGGGTCCTGAGGGATGCTATCCAAAGTGTGAGTAACAGGACTGAAACACTGGCAAATTTGTGGCTCACTGCGAAAACATGAAATGTTTCTACAATGGATGATGTTCCCTTGAGCTACAACTTGATGAATCTCCCTTGTTCCAGGGATGGATTTCAGGGTTGGCATGAGGAGAGTGTCATAGGACTGAAAATCATCACTGGTAACGTATTGTACCTTGACACCACTTAGGCTGCTGGACACCATCTCATAAAATGCTCTTCCATCCACAATGTCCCGACCTCTCAGCACAAAACTGTCCGCACACCTCTTAACTGTTGCCCCAATGCCATCTGGGGCACCCTTGCCATGTGATGTAGGAAAGAAATTCCACGTTGCATTCTTGAATCCCAGTTTGGGAGGGACAGCACAGAGGAGATGAAAGTTCTTCTTAAACCGTTTGCTTGGACCATCTGACCAAAAGTGAACAGTGTTAATCTTTGGAAATCTTGCATGAATGGTTTTCAGGATTTGATCTATATAGGTCCAGATAGCTGCAGCATCCTGGCGCTTGGACTCTGAGACCGTGCAGAATCCTGCCTTTTCATGTTTGGTATAGAACATGCCAGTATGAAGTGTGAGCTGTGGGAGGTTTTGCCCGTAGTGACAGGATTGTACTTCTGAGGTGAATTTACATTTCCAGGCCTCAGAGAAGTCAACATGAACAATTACAGTGGTTTCATCACAATTTGTTATCATGTTCCTGTACTCCTTGGTTTGATAGTGGACATGGGTTGTTGTCTCATTTCTTAGTTTGTCTTGCAGAGAATCATAAGCTCTGAAAGTGTGCCAGTGTGTTTCACAAGTTTGGTGCGAAAGTGAGCTCCATCTTCTGTTCGCTCCTCAATACGCTTCCACTCCACTTGTGTTTTTCCTTATTTCCCAATATTTCTCCGATATTATTGAGAAAAACTATCAAAGACCTAGAGTACTATTACTATAAACTCTGTAAATCCGCCTAATGCAATTGTGCCTGTTATGTCGATGGATACATGTGAAAATTTTGAATCATTTTTTGTTTCAAAAATCGAAAAAATTAGGTCGCAGATTCATCCTGCTCTTTGTATTGTCCCAGCTACACTATGTTGTCTTACGGTGTTTGACCACTTTGAAGTTCTTCAACTTTCTAGTTTGGGAAAAATTTTAGACCAGTTGAGGCCATCAGACTCCCCACTTGATATGGTCTCATCTAAAATAATCAAACAGGCTTTGGACCTAGTGTTTTAAATAAATAGCAGTCTTGTATCAGGGTCTGTGCCTGCCATTTTTAAAAACGCTGTGGTGCAGCCTTTAATTAAAAATGCTAATTTGAACCCAAATGAGTTAATTAATTATAGACCTATTTCAAAATTGTCATTCCTCTCAAAGATATTAGAGAAAGCAGTTCTCATTCAGCTGCAGTCTGTTTTGAATGAGAATTTACTTTTTGAAAAATTTCAGTCAGGTTTTAGGAAACACCACAGTACAGAATCTGCACTTTTAAAGGTTCTTAATGATATTTTAGTAACTGTGGATTCTGGTAATGCCGCAGTTTTGGTGTTACTCGATTTGAGCGTGGCATTTGATACCATAACAAACAGTATAAAAACAAACAAACATAACAAACAGAAGTCTCCATGGGGGAATTTACATCTTCGTCTGCACCTCGTAAGTATGGGATACCTCAGGGGTCCATTTTGGGACCCATGCTGTTCTCGCTATACATGCTTCAAATTGGCGCAATTTTTTGAAAACACAGAGTATCATTCCATTGTTACGCAGATGATACTCAGATATACATGCCAGTAAAAACGGATGATAATTCTTTATGGCCTCTTTTAGCATGTTTGAATGAGTTGAAAACCTGGCTGGCTGCTAATTTTTTGCATTTAAATGAATGCAAAACTGGGATCATTGTGTTTGCACCATCAAATGTATCTGAGTTCTCCTGTGTTGACTTTTAACCTTTATCTATTTATGGTCGATCAATGGTGAAAAACCTGGGGGTAATTTTTGATAGCTCACTAAAATTTGACAAACAAGTTAACGCTGTTGTTCGATCGGGCTTCTTCCAATTAAGAACCTTGGCAAAAGTCAAGCAATTTCTGTCAGTAGAAGATTTAGAGAGAGTGATGCATGCATGTGACCTCACGTTTGGACTACTGTAATGCCCTGTATGCAGGGATTAATCAATCGACGTTGACACGCTTGCAAATTGTCCAAAATACTGCAGCTAGATTGCTGACTGGTTCCCGAATGCGGAATCATATTACCCCAATTTTATTTTCCTTACATTGGCTGCCGATTCGCTACAAGATTGATTTTAAGATTTTGTTGTTTGTTTTTAAATCACTAAATGGTATGGCACCAGCTTATCTCACAGAGTTGTTGCAGATATACTCACCATCAAGATCACTTAGACCAGAAACTCTTAACTGTCCCAAAATCCATTGCACAATCCCAGAGTCGATTGGGGCCACAATTCAGTTTCCACATGGAGTAATAAGTGTCATGAGTCTTGTCTTGTATCTGCGTGTTCGGCTGTACCTGTTTCTGTGTTCCAGGAGGAGGCAATGAATTTATCTAACTTGCCCGAGGAGTACCGGGACCTGAGAGAAGTGTTCAGTAAGTCTCGAGTTGCTTCTCTTCCTCCTCACCGTCCCTATGACTGTGCGATAGATTTAGAGCCAGGTAAGTTTCCGCCTTAGGGCAAATTATATTCACTTTCTGTTCCAGAGAGGGAGGCTATGGAGAAATATATTTCTGATTCCAGCAGGGGTGGGGTTCTTTTTTGTGGGGCAGAAGGATGGATCTCTGCGACCGTGCCATTGATTACCGAGGGTTGAACAACATCACGGTAAAGAATACTTATCCTTTGCCGTTGATGTCTTCAGCCTTCGAGCGATTGCAGGGAGCATCCATCTTCACAAAATTGGATTTACGTAACGCTTATCATTGGGTCCGCATGAGGAAGGGTGATGAATGGAGGACCGTGTTTAAAGGGTTAGTTCACCCAAAAATGAAAATTAAGTCATTAATTTCTCACCCCCATGCTGTACCAACCCCGTAAGACCTTAGTTCATCTTCGGAACACAAATGAAGATATTTTTAATTGAATCTGAGAGCTGTATAACTACCACATTGGCTCCTAAGGCAATGACACTTGACGGCCCAGAAAGTCAATGAAGAAAATGTTTAAATATTCCATGTGACTACAGTGGCTCAACTAAGTTTATCAAGCGACGAGAATACTTTTTGTGCGAAAAAACAAACAAAAAAAAAAATAACGACTTTTTAGACTATTCCTTTTCTTCCTTGTTGGCCTGAAACGAGACTTCCATAGATTTCCATGACGCATGCGCAAGAATCTCCTTCAACTACTTCAGTTCAGTTCTCGCGCATGCGTCGTGGAAATCTATGGAAGTCTCGTTTCAGGCCAACAAGAAAGAAAAGGAATAGTCGAATAAAGTCATAATTTTTGTCTGTTTTTTCGCACAAAAAGTATTCTCGTCGCTTGATAAACTTATAGTTGAGCCCAAGGGCGTAGATTACGCGGGGGACGTGTCCCACCCACATTTTATAAAATGTAAATTTGTCCCCCGCACTTTTTCATAGGGGAAGTGTTCACGACATGTTGAGGTTTCCGCGAGCCAATGTGTATTTATAGATACAGATTTAAAATTCAAAGAGAAAATATCGCCTATCTACTGTATCTACACGTGACTTTCACGTTGCCATGGTAATCAGTCACTCGCGCTCGTGCATCACCACACGCCCGTGCTCGCACCCGCACTGAATCCATCGTCGAAGGTCGAAAGGAATTCAAAACGGCAAAAAACACTTCACACTTTTTTCGCAAAAAAGTCAAGAACTGTAAGTTGTAATGTGGTATCCGACTTTTGGTTGCTCATTGTCATTGATGAATAACTTTGCCTAATTTTCTGCCATTATCTAACTTATTTGCTTGAATCATGCAGCGTTGCACTTGACTTGTAACATGTGTACATGATGTTTACCATATAATTGTCACGGATCCATCGGCGTCAGCACCAGACACCTTCACTCCGCCCACTCGTTCCAGCTCCCCAGCCTTCTAATCACCGTCACCTGCCCACATCAATCACCGTTCCAATCATCCTCCCTTTATAAACTCACTCCTCACAGTCACTCACCGTCTGGTCTCGTCGACACATCGGCTACAGACTCCCGCTACTCTAAACCCTGGTTTTGAGATCTACTTACCTGCTTACTGTCGTCCTGTCTGCTCCTTCTCCGCTCCTGGTCCCCGGTCTCCCGCTGCTCATCCGTCCGCTGCCTCAGCTCTCCATCTGCCAACCCTGCTCAAGATAAGATAGACTTCATCAGACTGTTTCCCGATCCATTACTGAACTTTATTCATTATCTACTCACCCGCTGTCTACCATATCATCTGTGTCAATAAATCTGGTTACCCTCATCCATCTGTGTCCTTCTAGTCTGTGACAATAATAAGGTAACACTTTACAATTTGATTAAAATTGTTTGTAGACGAACGTTAAGTTTTCTTTAAAAAGCCTAACCAGAAAGTTTGAAGAAGTTTTAAAAGCATGAAGTTTGAATGTTTTCAATATGAATGACAGTTTTGGTTAAGATAGATAGATAGATAGATAGATAATGAAACCTTATTGTAAAGTGTTACCATTCAATATAAATGCAGTATGCAATTGTATGCATTAATGTTCTGATTTAGGTCTTAATTTATAGGGCTCAATAATATTATTGCACTAATTTAATGTTTTTTTTTTTCTTCTTCTGTGTTGTCAAGATTGATCAAGAAACAGGGAGCCTAGGGTTGTCAGGTCAGAAAGAGGATGACACTCAAAAAAAAAAAGAAAGTTCACAGGTGAAAAGTAATAGACTGGCTTTTAAAAAAAGCTTGAATTATGCAGTGTTACTTGTAACATGTGTACATGATGTTTACCATATAATAAGGTAACACTTTACAATTTGATTAAAATTGTTTGTAGACGAACGTTAAGTTTTCTTTAAAAAGCCTAACCAGAAAGTTTGAAGAAGTTTTAAAAGCATGAAGTTTGAATGTTTTCAATATGAAATACAGTTTTGGTTAAGTAAAACAGACAGACAGACAGACAGACAGAGAGACAGACAGACAGACAGACAGACAGATAGATAGATAGATAGATAGATAGATAGATAGATAGATAGATAGATAGATAGATAGATAACTAATGAAACCTTATTGTAAAGTGTTACCATTCAATATAAATGCAGTATGCAATTGTAAAAAAAAGGTATAATGCTTGACATTCTGTCCCCCTCACTTTTGAAATGATTGCTACGCCCCTGGTTGAGCCACTGTAGTCACATGGAATATTTAAACATTTTCTTCATTGACTTTCTGGGCCGTCAAGAGGCAGTCCCTTAGGAGCCTACAGTAGTTTCATGGACTGTCAATAGAGCTATACAGAAAACTCAGATTTCATGAAAAACATTTTTGTGTTCTTAAAATGAACGAAAGTCTTACGGGTTTGGAAAGACATGAGATTACAGATTTTTAATTTTTTTTTTTTTAATTAAACTTGACTTCATATTAATTTTTACATGATTCAAAACTACACACAATTGTTTGTGGTATTTATTTTTCATATGATGATACATTTTTATTTGGTGATGTTGTTGATGAAAAACAGAAATATCAGAATATCAGCAATATTACAGTAAATGTTAGGGTAATTTGACAAATGTTCCCCCTTTGAAATTCCAAATGCCTGTTCTAGTAATTCATCCTGGTGTTTGACTGCTGAGCTATTTATCCATGTTGTTCAGCGGGGGGAGGCAATGAGCTTATAGAATCGAGGCATGTTGACAAAGCTGCTGAGTTCAGGACTGGGGTCTATGCCATCTGGACCCTGTGGACTACTGAAGCTGAACTTCTGAAGCAGAGACACGATGAACAGAAAGAGCTCCATACGAGCCAGAGACTCACCCACACAAGAGCGTTTACCTGCAGAAATAGAATGCAGAAGAGATGAACCAGTGAAGGTCAAAAATACATTGAAATACATTTTTATGCATCTATAAATAATTATTTATCATCTTTTTTTAATATAAATATTTAGTTTTGCGTAGAGAAAAGTGTTAATCATAGCCTATTGTGAAAAGCGTCAGTCAGGCAGGCCACATAAGCTTCACCAGTATCTGGTCTACTTAGGAATACAATGTCTATGATATTGCTCCAATTTAAGTTATAATTTCAGTCATCCTTCAGCTGGTTTCATTGCATTGCTCAAGAAATGCTGTTTTGCGTGAGGCATTCGTTCCCTGATGTCTGTGAGGGTTACAGATTGACTTAAAAAATAACGGAAGGAGTTTTAAATAAATGCACTCACACACACACACACACACACACACACACACACACACACAGAGAGAGAGAAAATGTTTACTGACATAAGAGTTTATCATGATTGTATTTGATTATGATATCAACTGTTGCATAAGAAATTAGATTATATTTTGAACAGTATGACAAAATGTTTCTTCTAGACTCTGTATTTTTGGGAAAGTGTGTAAAGTGTTGTATGTGAGTTTGTCCCTCCCTACGGGGTAATGGTGCTGGCCACCAGTATTTAAGTGCTTGTCTGTTTTTAATGTAGTTAGTTTGTGTTGGTTGCTGCAGTGGACAGTGTGGCCTGAGTTCTGCAGGTATTTTGTACGTTGTTGATTTGTCTTTTTGTAAGGAAGTCATTTTTTGGGGGGGGAAATTTGCATTTGGCATTATTGCTTTTGAATCTAATTTGGATGCTTTTGGATAAGATTTTTCACTTTTTATTTAATTTTCCATTTATGTGATATATTTTAGGTAAGGATTTTTCATGATTTTGCAAGTTTGAATAAATAATTTACTTCAAACTTCTTGTATTCACACTTTTTTTTGGTGCCCATTACTGGGTTCTTAATACAATGGCACGTCAGTTCTGCAGGTATTTTGTACGTTGTTGATTTGTCTTTTTGTAAGGAAGTTATTTTTTTGGGAAAATTTGCATTTGGCATTATTGCTTTTGAATCTAATTTGGATGTTTCATCAGCTTGAAACATCCAGATTCAAGCTTGTTGAACAAGATTCAAGATTCAGATTCAGATTCAAGCTTGTTGAACAAGAATCAGCCACGTTGACTAAAGTAACTTTAAAACCAAGCAGCTTAAATAAGAGTTACTTCATAAAGTTAAATATTACTGTTATAGGTCTGGGTTAGACATTATTTGACTCATGCTTGATTTTTAAGGACTGAATACTAATAGAACAAGTTTTAATAATGCCTTTTTATATGAAAATTAAAGACGTGTAACCATTTTCACAATATGTAATCTTATTTAAATTAACAACTTTAAAACTTTAGTTTGATGTGAGACTGTTTACCTGCAGAAAAGGGGATAAAGGCTGGATTCTTTTTAAAGTTGCCGTTGGCATCCAGAAAGTGCTCTGGGTTAAATGTCCAAGGGGTTTCCCACTGTACCTCATCCCTTAGAACAGAGTGCAACATGGGAATAATCACTGTATCCTGAAAGAATGAAAGCTTATTTAAAATACGACAATACTCAAAAGCTATACAATAAAATATAGTATTGAGTGGTTAATTGTTACCTTTGGAATTAAATAACCTCTGAATGTGATATCTTCCATGGCATAATGGGGAATATTTAGTGGGACAATGTCCAGAAAACGTTGTACTTCATGAATCACAGCATCAGTAAAGGGGAGGGACTTCTTGTCTTCCATTGTAGGGACCCTGTTCCTTCCAATAACTCTGTCAATCTCCCTTTGCATTTGCCCTTAAGCAACACAATAAAAAAACGTTTTTGTAGTTTCTCTTAAATGTGAAAAGTTCATGAAGAAAGAGAAAATTAATACAAAAGTAATGTATACATACAAAAGGTATAATCCAAGTGAGCAGGCTAACTCTCTGCAAAACAATATATATGTATTTTTTTCTCTTCATTATCAAATTATTTTGGAGGTTGTCTCGCATAGGTGGACATTTAAAGCAGAGGTAAGCAGTCTGTGGGCTGAGAATTGTGGAAGGTCACTTTTCCTTTCTAAGTGTCCAGAACTTGACCACAATAAGTTGTGGCATAAAGGGGCACTAAGCAATAATTTATGCACTTCCTAACCGATTTAAGCCCATTGGCAATATATATTGCCGTAGTGTTTAGTTGTCATTTTCCTTTTTTAAAGATAATTTAATTCAATTTTAGGTGTTATCCATGTTTTCTTTCTCAATGAGATGCAAGCAAACAACCAAATAAAGGATTTCTAGAAAAGAAAAAAAAGGTATTCACGAGGCTGTCACTACTTCCAGGAAGCATGACGAAGGCAAACCCTCCCAAAGAAATGTCATTTTCATGTTACTAATAACTACTGTTTGTAGACTTATCTACATAATCATGAATGCAAAATCATCCAAACAAAACAAATCTTACAAGAGACCTATAGTGTTTTTGTATATTTAATGATTTCCGGTAGCTTTGGAAGCTCAAGTCGGCGGCTGTGTGTACGTACAGTTAAAATGCAAGATATTTAAAGTGTACCTAAAGTATACTTGCAATAGTTCCACTTTAGCCACATCAAATACACTTAAAGGAGAACTCCAGCGAAAATGAACCTTTTGTCTAATTACACATTGGTACCTAGTCGACGTTCTCATTTGTTTTCATGATAACCGAATGTAAAGAGTTTTATTTCTAAAAACTGTTTAGCGTATATGCTAGTATATCGGGGCATATAATAAATAAAGAGAAATCGCTAGTTAAATGTACAGTATGCAATTTTTGCATATAAGATAAAGCACATAAGATACTGCAGTCAAACGTTTGACTGGGTTTGCGTTATGCATCCACTATGTGCTAAAGGCGAATGTAGTGAGTGCACGGCGCCGGAGGTGAGGCATTTATTTAGTAAGCATGAGCACGCTGAAGCTGGCACGTACATTCGCAGCCTGACTCATATGAGTATTCAATGTGCGCGGCTCGCTGACAGCAACAGCTGGCTGATTTGAATGAGACGACCCGGTTACTGTGAACGGGGAGCGATTTATGAACATTGTGTATGTGACGCGCGAGCAGCACCAGGGACAGTGTGTCTGTTAAGAGTGAGCGCTCGTGAGCACATGATTTACAGTACACACATAAAAATACGTACAACTTTTT